AGATATGTCAACGCAGTCAGTGTAAACTCTACACGGTGTTGCTACCGTTCGTCATAACAAACACGTCAGTAACCACGCAGTAGGGACTCCGCACAAGCCAGTATGGCTCGAAAGAAAGGTATCGTGATATTTCTCATTATATAAAACTTAAAGAACAACCAATCCTCAGGGGTCATAAACGTCGGAGATTCGCCGATTCACGCCTCAGAGGCTTCTTGCCGTATCGCGGGATCACAGGGAGTGCCCGAGGCGGCTGATCTCTGCCAGTATGCAGCCTGAGGTTGTCCAGTTGAGCAACGATACTGGCAGTTACTGAATCAACTTCTGCTTGGTCCACAGCAGTGGGCAATGGCGTAGTCGGGTTAGGAGTACAGCACAACACGGAGAGCCTGCAAATCACAATAACACGGAAAACGACCAGTTGCGGCCAACCTACCGGCGAGCTATGGGCTTGGTTGGAGGGGACATTTCGATTGATGATGCGATGGATGTACGGATCCGGAAATGAGGAGCTACATTGCTAGCCGCGAAAAGTGGCACCAAGGACCGGCGTCTGTGAGAGGGAGGTCTTGGAGGGAATAATGTGCTTGAGGCCTGACCAGAAACACCCTTCATGAAAGCACGTCAAATCCGACAGCAGCTTACCACGTTGTTGGTGTCTCGATTCTCATCAGAGCCTCGGGGTACCACCGTAGGGGACTGGGGTCGAAGGGGTCGCGGCCGCTGTACGGCAACACTCTTAGAGTGAAGGCAATCGGCGGGTGAGAGATACTCCGTACCGCGAGCAGAGTATGCCACGTGTCGAACACCTCGGCAGGGCCTCGCTGGAGTACGCCAATCGGCACTGAAAGACCAAATTGTCACAGTTGCCAGTCGGGCTTAACATTACCTCAGCTCGAGCACTGGAGATGCGAAGTAGGAGCCGCATGCTGGTAACGGACTCCCAAGCGCCGACATTTATTCGCGGAGTTAAACAATCCCTACGACAGTCACCCAATTAGCACGATTGAGCGAATCGTCAGCTGTATAGGTACGACGCAACTCGATTGTTTGAAACGGTGGATTTCGGGCGAGCGCGACTGTTTCTTCTCCTATCAAAGTAGCGCGCGCCCAAAAATCGTCAAGGCGCAATTCGGGCCTTGAATAGGTTGGGGGATGGAGGATCAGGTAACAAGGGAAGCCGCGGTCGTCCTTACCTCGGTGACTGACACTAGGGCCCATAGCTAAGCTTAGTTCCGTCTAACGTCTCTCTAGAAGTACTACTGTCGGGCTATGCTTAGGTTCTAGCAGGGGAGCTAGGCAGGCTCGAACAGGAGCTGCGCTCAGTGTCCAAGGCCTTGGCGCAAACCAACAATGCTCAGCAACGCATAGAACTATCCAAACTGTTGAAAAGGTGAGCCAGAAGGAGTCGGTGGGCTCTACAGTGGAACGTAGCAGATTAAAACAGCAGTGCCAAGATGCGATGCGGGAACAGCAGAGGCAGACACCAATCAGCTCTGATAGGCATCAAGAGGCTCTCTTTGCTGGGGAGGTAGAACAGTATCCTCCCGCAAGGCCCGGAAGGACTCTCATTGCAATGAGTTCAGTATAGGCAGGCCTCATTGAAGAGGAAATGCGTAGACAATACGCCTTACTCGCCACTACAGACGACGCCCGAGCAAGAGCTGACATTAACTCGAGGATGGCGGTATTGAAGGTCACTGGGAAGCGCCTCTATACACGTACCAGGATTAGAATCTGATAGGCCGAATTCTTGAAGTCCATCGGCGAAATACGCAAAATATCTCCTACACGACCAAGTGCACCATCGAACACCGCGAGCTCACGAGGTGTACTTAATGAGAAGGATGCCCTAGAAGCTTTACTACGGGCCGTAGGGGTGGCCCTCACTATTACTGGGTCGCTATTGTGCTATCAGGTATCAGCTGGGAATACCCAGGATGTTCGAGATATCCTCAATGACAAGCACACGAGCGTTGAGGTAGACTCCCGAGATGCTTCCGGATGGTCTGCACTACATTATGCTAGTCTCATTGGCTGGACCGAGGTGGGGCTATCACGCTTGGTGAGACTATCCAGATTGTTAGGTTACCAATTGTCTCATTGGAATGAAAGCTGATGTGAATGCAGTTAATGACTTAGGAGGGAGCCCCCTGCACTTAGCAGTGGAGATGGAAAACCGCGATATGGTCATACCACGGGCCGTGCCCCTCTACCTTCGACAAGACACAGATACAACTACTGCTCGATCATCGAGCGGACCCCCTTGTCGAGGACATCATGTGTTGCCACCCCTTCTCCAACGCTAACCCCGATCTCATCAGAGCCTTCCGGAAATCTCTACCTAGCGAGTAATGCCAACGTTGCTACTGCTAGAGCATGCACCGTACCCTAGGATGTTACCAGTAAAAGAAAAGGACGACGAGCCATGGGAGGTGGACCTTGCCGAACTAGGTGATTATTATACCCAAGACTAGTTCCGTGGCCTTCTGGTCTATTGCAGAGTACGGACCAATGCTGGGGTCCGGTGCCGCTGCGGACGTCTATCGTGGTATTTGGAGAGAGGCAGATGTCGCTATAAAGGAAATCACCTGGGCTAAGGCGAGAGAGACCGAGGACAAAGTGGCTGAGTTCAAGCAGGAACTCGAGATAGTCATCAACCTTAGGTGAATGATTATCAGTGGAATGAGATCGCGCTAATGCCGCTACCGCAGGCACCCCAACTTAGTGCTGTTCATGGGCGCTTTCACCAAGTCCAGACCGCTTCGCCTGGTCACTGAACTCTGTGACGGTGGGCCTCTCAGTTCTGTACTTTACGCTAGGAAAGACCTCGATCTAACCTGGCAACAGGTGCGTACCTGCTTATTCACAATGACGGTAACTCATGTTCAATGTAGAGACATAA